ATAAGGAGGGTATAGTTATCTTTTCTAGTCTTACTGTATTTAATTTCTTTTTTTACCTTTATTTTGGTTATATTTCTAACAAATCAATTTGTTATTTTTGACATTTTTTTCCTACAAAAAAATATTAGAGTTCAATAATTCATTAGCATCCAAATAAAGGCCAATATAGAGTTCTTTATAAAAATTTGCTTTAAAAAAATGTTAATATATTTATTACTAACGATATATAATCAATATCTAATCAAATTTATTGAAAATAAGGCAAATATAATATCTAATACCAACTTTACGAACAAAACTGTTCAAATATTATTACAAACATAATACTATAAGTATCATAACACTATACAAAATGGCCCGTACTTGAAATTAAACAAATTAACTGAGATATTATGTTTAGTTTGGCAGTAATTCTCAAAAACCAAAATAACCAGTTAGATTTAGTAAAATTTCTTCAATCCAAATAAATCAAAGAACCATTTAAATCGAACCTAAATATCTAAATTAACTGAGTCACATGATGAATATATACTGTCCAGATGTCTAAAGCTGAAAATATGTTTTCTAATATTTAAATTTATAACAGTGAAAATAGTGAGATACATAATAATCATCTATCATTTTGTTTATGGTCAAGTAGTTTAGTAGTTATAAGTTAGATAACTTTAAATAAAAAACACCGGCACCTGTAGTTAGTAGTGGTTCTGACCGGAAGCAGAGTAAGCTTGACACGTTCCCTCCACCGTTCTTCCTAGTCCTCTTCAAGAAGTTATGAATCCTCACCTAAAAAACCAACCAAAACCACCACTTATAATTACATCACTATATCTTAATTCTCCACTAAACTACTAAACTCATACCTCATGTTCTATTGTTATGCCAATACTAACAGCAGCCTGAACAAATTGAATACAAGCATAAAACTATTACACTCTCTAACTATAGTGCTCTGTGTTGCCTAATATATCATTGTTTCTCTAGCTAAATATTATAGACTTAGTACTCACTCACTACTAGTACGCAACCTATGTTTTGGCAAACGCAAGAAGCAGAAACTTGTCTGACAGGAGAGTTACCTTGGAGAAGAATTTCTGAGCATGGCTTCTAATCTGCACAGCAGTTTTCGTTGCTACATGTTCTGTCCAAAAGAAGAAGAAAAAGCAAATCAGAAACAACGCAAGAAAAAAGAACCTCTACAAGACAAGAACATATAAAAAGAGAACCTTTGATCTTCTGCGAAGCTCTACCATAGATCCATCTTCAACAGAACCAGAACAAGCTGGATAAGCTAATGACCATCGCACCTATCCGACAGGCCCAACACGCACCGATTCTCCATCCAAGCAACACACGAACAAGATCCGACACCATAGACACCGGATTTCTCCGTAACCCAGATCTGAAACCAAACTAAAAACGGTGACAAGTTGCCGAAATCAAAGCAAGAGAGACCTAAAGAGAGGAGAAATGGGGCCGCTCCCGGTGGCGGTGATGAGCACTAACCGCCGGAGCAGAAAACGAGATACGGCGGCGAGGAGTCTACTAGGGTTCGTTGCTTTTTAGAGTGTCGTGGGCTCAACCTGTTTTTTTGCCCTTTTTTTAATAAGAAAGAGTATTTATATGTCAAGAAAAATTAGGTTAAAACTTGGTTTAATTTTGGTTTGGTTAAAATTATTTTGGTCAAACTTTAGGTTAGGTCTACTATAATATTTTCTTTATTGTTTATATAGTTTATAATATATAATCAAATTTTTTTTTCATTATATATTTAATAGACTTAGTATATATTTTTTTTGATAAAATTGTAATTCACATTTTAATTCATAAATAAATAAATTTAATTTTAAAATAATTTTTTTTTTGTAATCACCAATTAATGTAGACTGAAATAGACGTCTACATATACGTAGACTTTACTGTAAGTCTACTATACCCTAAATAATGGCGCCAATAAGGAAAAATAGGCTCCAAAATTCATTTTCACTTCCCGCTTAGTTAATTTTAATTTTAAAATAATTTATTTCGGTAAACACAAATTAACGTAGACTGAAATAGACGTCTACATATAAGTACACTTAACTGTAAGTCTACTATACACTAAGTTGGTTAAATCCGGTTAGGTTAATTTGGTATAAGTGTGTAGATTTACGGGTAAGTCTACAACTCCGTTTTTTTTTTTTTTTTGCTTTATTGTTTGAGCAAACCCTAAATGTAAGTAGACTTTATTGTAAGTCTACTATAACCCTAAACCACAAATCTGATACCCTAAATATTTATTTGATAATCAAAAATATATTAATTATTATATTAAATATCTAAATATAGAAAAAATAAACTTCTCAACATTAGTGTGTCAAAAAAACAAAAAAAAATTAAAATCAAATATCTAACCCTAATATATGAATCTAACCCTAAAAGACAAAGCATGTTATACCATTTTGTTGGGAAACCATAACACATTATCTTTCACATGGTTACCAATTCAATATAAANAGTAGACTTCTAAGGTCTACAAATGTGTAGACTTCTCTCTATTATGTGTAGACTTGCAAAGGACAGAACCGTAAAATAACTGTCTGTTTTTTTGTTTGGTCACAAGGGTTAAGTAGTAACTTCATAACCCCTTTAGGTTGGTTTTGCATTTGACTCAATAAGGGGTACACCTTTAGGGTTGAAATGAAATTTTAGGTTGATTTTGGCAAATCCCCCAAATATATTTTCAACATAATAACATAATACATAAGAATTATCTTATTTTAGAAAATATAAAATTATTAATAGAAATTCCTTTTAGTTATATAATAAATATTTATATCTTAATTTAAAATTTAAGTTTATATATAAAAATATACTTCAGGATAACAACATAATTCACAAGAATTATCTTTTTCTAAAAATATGATATATTTATATAAATTCGTTTTATTTATAGATAAATTATATATAAATATTAAAAATATTTATCATAACCAAAATTATCTAAATTTATGGAGAACATGACAACTAAGCGATAGATTTGAAAAGTCAGTCTCTAATTAAGTAATGAATAAAATATTATATCTGATTTCCATTATCATTAAAAAATAATTAATAAATCATGTTAACTAAATTAATTAAAAAAATATTGTAGTCTCGTCCCAACTAGCTGGCTTAACTCGCCGTGGGGCGAGCTAGAAGCTTCCCGGACAATTCGCCAGACGGCGAGCTGAACCGGTCCGGTTCGGCTCGTCGTATGTCGAACCAACCATCCCGAGCCTCGATCTCCCGCATTCCCGATTCAAGGTTTACGTCCTTCAACACGATCGTGTTCCGAACCACGGTCGGAATGTCTCCCGTTTCGTCTCGATCCGTCCTATCGTTCGAGTTTTACGATAAAAACCGTAAAACTTTGTTTTCTCGAAAAGAACTTGAGGAAATCGTATAAAACGGCAACGGTTAAACGAAATACCGAACATTGCCTAAACTATACGATTTATTCGAGATTTTTCGTAAAAATCGTAAAAAACGCGTTTTTAATAAAAACGTCGAGTGAATCGTAAAAACGGCAAAGATTAACCGAGAAACGAACGTAGCTAAACTTTACAATTAACTCAGGGAATTTACTAAAAACGGCATCGGATCAGGAAACGATCTCGTATAAAGTCGCAAGACGGATTTATCGCAAAACGGACCGGAAGGTCCTAAAACGCGATAAAAGCCCATCTCGCGATCTTAACGAAATCAAACCCGAAGATACGATAACGTTTTGACGGTTTACTCGCAGAAGGAAGATAAATGTAAAGTTTGAAGATAAATGGCAAGTTTGAAGATAAATAGAAGATTTCCACAGAAAAAAGGAAGGATCGAGATAAATGGAAGATTCCCGATAAACTCGAATCTGGGTGAAATGGAAAAACTAAACCGCCTAGGAGAGGAGTATATAAGCAAGAGGCATAGGGAAAAAGCAGGGGGACAAAATCATACCTAGAGAGGCGGCTGTTAGCTTAGAAATTTAGGACTTAGCGTTTAGACTAGCAAGCCAGATCCTTAGAACGTTTCGACGTCTAAGTTCTGCGATTCTTTCTTGTAATAGTTGTCGATCTCTTATTCAATAAAAAGCTTTCACGCAAATTCTTCATTCTCTGTTCTTCGTTGTTCATCCATATTTTATTGATTTCGTTTGTTTTAGTGATTTCCGCAGAGATCCAGGACCTCGGGAAAATTAGGTTTTCCCTAAGTTTTCATATTTGACGGAAAATCGACAGTGTGGATTTCGGTTCCCACAGTTTGGCGCTAAAAGGAGGGGTGGGGGGGGGGTCGGATTCTCTTACACAATAGTCGCTAGAACGAACGAGAAAAGACATGCCTAATCTGAACGGCGACGTCATCTCATTCGAGAAAAGAGCAACGATCGATTCGATCAAACCTCTCAACGATCTTCTCGTTATCGAGCTGACGATCCAGAATATGGATGTCGCGAGGATATTAGTCGATACCGGCAGCTCGGCTGATATCATCTTCAAAAATACTCTCGAGAGAATGAAAATCGACCTGTCTGAAATCGCGGAAAACGTAAGCCCGCTAGTAGGACTCTCGGGAGATATCACCATGACCCTCGGAACGATCAACCTGACGGTTCGCGCCGGGAGCATAGTGAAAAACGTCGAATTCCAAGTCGTCGATCGACCCATGTCTTACAACGCAATCGTAGGGACACCGTGGTTAAATTTGATGCAAGCGATTCTGTCCACGTACCATATGTGTCTCAAGTTCCCGACTCCATGCGGAATCGATACCATATGGGGAAATCGGAGGACCTCGCAAGTTTGCTACGCCGCGGATTTAAAACGAAAAAATCTGCCGGTCGACATTTCTTCCCAAAAGAAAAAGAAGTCAACTGCCCTTGACAACGCCCCAGAGCAAGATAAAACAGAACTCTTCTGGTAGTTGCGAGCGTCCGAGGCTTTGGAAGGTAAACGCGAGCCAACCTGTGAACCTGTCATCTCAGTGTGCATCGACGAGTCTTCTCCAGAACGCTGCGTCGAAATCGGTGCAAACCTGAGCGAGAGCTTAAAAGTCGAACTCCTGACATGTCTGATACGAAACTCGAACACGTTCGCTTGGACTGCGGAAGATATGCTAGGAATCGACATTAACATCACATGTCATGAACTTAACGTTGACCCAACATCCAAACCTGTCAAACAAAAAAGACAAAAACTAGGGCCGGAACGCGCCGAAGCGGCAACAGCGAAGTTGACAGACTCCTCAACGGACAAATGTCTACCTTTCTACGAAACGTTAAAGGGAAACAAAAAAATTTGAATGGTCCGAAGAATGCGAGGAAGCTTTCCAACAGCTGAAACATTACCTAGCTACCCCGCCGGTACTCGCTAAACCTGTGGAAGGAGAACCAGTATTCCTCTATATCGCAGGTTCGACGACCGCCGTGAGTGGCATCCTTATCCGGTAAGAACGCGGCGAACAAAAGCCAATCTTCTACGTAAGTAAGACACTACTGGACGCGGAGACGCGATATCCGACGATGGAGAAATTTGCTTTAGCCGTAGTCATATAAGCAAGAAAACTGAGACCGTATTTCCAATCTCACACCTTCGTCGTACCCACCTCGTTCCCTCTCCGCACCATTTTGCATAGTCCCAGCCAATCGGGTAGATTAGAAAAATGGGCGATCAAGCTGAGCGAGTACGATATTGAATATCGCGCAAAGACTTGCGCAAAATCGCAAGTACTCGCGGACTTCATAGTGGAACTCCCAACGGGAAGCATGTCCAACCAAGAGCCGAACTCGACTTGGATCCTATACGTTGACGGATCCTCATCCAAACAAGGCTCCAGGATCGGCATCCGACTCGCATCCCCAACGGGAGAAGTGTTGGAACAGTCATTCCGATTAATTTTCCACGCTTCGAACAACGAAGCCGAATATGAGGCCTTGATCGCAGGATTACGATTAGCTCACGGTCTGAAGATTCGTAACCTTCACGCTTACTGCGATTCCCAGCTAGTGGCTAGCCAGTTCAGCGGAGAATACGAAGCGAGGGACGAGAGAATGGAAGCATATCTAATCTTAGTAAAAGATCTAACCCAAAAGTTCGATCAGTTCGCCCTTACTAGAATCCCTCGAGTGGAAAACGTTCAGGCAGACGCCTTGGCCGCCTTGGCATCCAGCTCGGACCCTGGTATGAGCAGGGTAATTCCTGTCGAATTCATCGAATATCCGAGCATCGGACCGTCCGTAGTTATAAACCTGATCAAAGAATCGGAGGACGGTATAGACGAGAACCGTCCAGTCGAAGATCAGTCTGATTACGGATTTAGTCGTCCCTGGATGGAAACGATTCTCGCATACATAACCGACGGAGAACTCC